ACCCCCTAATTTCCTTCTTCTCCCCCCCCACCCAGGGAAAGTCCACGGATCCCTCGCCCGCGCCGGCAAAGTGAGGGGCCAGACCCCCAAGGTGAGCACTCAGGGGGTTCCCCCCGTTTTGGGGGCTTTGGGGGGGGTTTTGGGGACCCTTTAGGACCCCCCCCAAATGTTTTTTGGGCAGGTGGCCAAGCAGGAGAAGAAGAAGAAGAAGACGGGGCGGGCGAAGCGGCGCATGCAGTACAACCGGCGCTTCGTCAACGTCGTGCCCACCTTCGGCAAGAAGAAGGGTCCCAACGCCAACTCCTGAGCCAAATAAAGGGGGTTGGGGCCCATTCGCTGCATTTCCGGCCTCTGGGGGCTTTGATTCGGTGATTTTGGGGCGTTTGGGGGAAGTTTTTTTGGGGTTTGGGGGAAGTTTTTGGGCGGTTTGAGGGGGTTTTTAGAGGGGTTTTTTTGTGGTGTTTTGGGGGGTGTTTTGAGGTGTTTGAAGGGGGTTGGGGGTGGAAGTGGCGTTGAGGGGGTTAATGTGCGTCCCTGAGTTGCTGACGGGGCGGTTAATTAGAGACAGGCTTAATTAGGGGGGTGGTAATGAGCGGGACAATGGTTCTCTATGGGGATGACGGAAAGAGCCGAACGGTGACGGAAACTCCCGAGCGCGGGCGGAGCCGAAGGGGGGAGGGAGCACCTGATTGGCTGAGCAGGGAGGGGGCGGGGCCACCGGAAGAAGCCGGAAACATCCGAGCGGTGACCGGAGCTGTGATTGGCGGACGAGACAAAAGGGGCGGGGCCAAAGTACCGAGCGGCTCCGGAAAGTGCCGAAGGCGAAGTGGGCGGGGATTTAAAGGGGACGCGCTTCAGTTTCCGGGGTCAAAGGTTGGTTTTGGGGGCGCAGGACCCCCCCAAAATCCTTTGCTGCCCACCGGGGTCCCCCAGAGACCCTCCCAGTCCCCCTCCCAGTCCTAATTTTCCTCTAAAAAGCCACACTTATGGTCAACAGAGTAAAAATTATATTTATTATGTACAATGGAGGGGGCTCGGGGGGGGTTTGGGGGGTCTCAGAGCCCCGAACTCTTCCGTTTCTTGCCCCCCCGGGGGGCAGGGACGGGCTCCAGGGTGTCCCACAGCTCGTCCCCCTCCTCATCCTTCACCTCTGTTTGGGGAGGGGGCTCCTCCTCGTCCTGGGGGGCGC